TCATTTTTCTATATCTTTTTGGTTATAATAATAATTTGTTAAATTCAAACTATAATACACATTTACAGTAATAAGATATAGAGAAGTATAAATAGTATATACACTATTTTAAAAAAGGATGTATATGTATACAAATAGTTATATATTAGTAAATAGTTTCTATTTATAGGCATTGAATATAATTAGAGAAACTGTAACTATATTGGGAAAAAGATTATATTTTAAGAAATAGAGTTATAATTTAAAATAATTTTAGTTAATGAAGTAATGAAACATCTATCTGTTTTTTCAAAACTTCTATTTTTTTTAAAATCATAAAATTTAATTTTTTCTTACTTTTTTTTTAACTTTCATAAATATATAAAATAATTTATTTATTTAATATTAATGTAATAGTAAAATAATCATTATTTTAATTAATCTTAAACATTTCCCTATATAATATAGGATCGGTAATCACACATAACACAATACGAACGCAGGGGAGACATATGTACAGTAGTATTACGAGTTTTTACTTATGGTGGCCTATCCTTTTCATGCATATATTTAATCTACTTACTAAACAACAGCAGTACACAACAATAATATTATAGCGGTTGTTTCTTACGGACGAGGAAAACGAGCAAGAAAGGGATGCCAAAATGCGTTTTTAAAGGGAGTACAGTCGACCCCCATTAATGTCACCCCTTAGGGTACTAGCAAAAGTATTGACTATATTGAGGTTGACGATCACAGGGGGTAGAGAATAGGCAGAATCTTTAACTGCTAACTTTGAAAGGATACCAGCAAATCTGTTGACGCTATCGGGGGTTGACGTTATCGGGGTTGACGTTAATGGGGGTTGACTGTATATCTTTTCATTGCTGTAGAATAGTGGGATCAGTAAGATGAGCAGGTATACAGAAACCATGTTCCTTTTCTCTTAATTGATAGTAAAAACCATCCTTTACTAGTATAATATTGCTATTATGCATGTTTGTCTATTGAGGCAATAATACATATGCTTGCGATATCAAGCACAGCATTCTTACCAAAGTATTAGAGAACATGGAAGTGGTGGTACAATAAGTAGCTGAGTACTTTAACACGAAGACAGAGACGGAGTAGCTTGTTGACTTCATTACCAGTTTTTTTATTCATTTCGAAATCTCGCAATTAACATGTCTCGTTTGCCTTTGAATTCCGAATCACTTCGTTGTGAAGAAGTTGAGCTACATGCCACGTACTTAGAGGCTATTGCACGCTATCCAGAGGAAACAGGGGAACGCTAGCTGAGTAAGGAAAAACGTTACACTAATGGATGGTCCGAAAACAGACGCGTTTTCAATGAAGATGGCAGTAAGTTTATTACAGTAAGGTTTTATATGAGCTATAAGGGATGATAACTCAGGTCCTCGGCAGAGCAAGTCGTGCCCTAGGAAACAAGCGATCAGCGGGCGAGGTCGAAAATGAAGAAGAAGCAATCCATCGTGATGGCTATTCCACTGTCAAGCAATATGTCAACGCTATTATTAAACTGTACAAGGAACAAGTCGAATTTGGTACGAACACTGCCACCAACAATCCACGAACGAATGCAGTCAAGCAGCTTTTGAAAAACGCAAGAAAAATGGAAGTTCGAAAGCGACGCGATAACTATGAGGACCGTGCCGCAGGAACACTCTTGGACGGCTACTCGACCCTCACGGAACTAGGAACGGTTGTCGACTACTGTTTTCGGAAGGACAGGAGTGAACACTACAGAAACGCATTGATGCTACTGATTTCCCACTTTGCCTTGATGCGTGGCGAGAACGTCCGAGATCTAGAGTTGGCTGATGTCCAGACCATCCCTTTACAACGAGAAGGACCGACACCGGATATCGAGTGCCCTGCCTTAGTTCTCCTTTTGGATCATGGTAAAAAAAATCAGTTCGGCAACAGTCAGCATGGATCTGCTATTCGTAATGCAAATGTCGAAGTATGTCCTTAGATCGCATTGGGCATGTATCTCTTCTACCGTTGGCACGTCGAAGGCGAACGATTTCCGGACATGACTGAGCCCAAGACTTGGTATGATATCAAGCTATGCAAGTCCAAACCTAACGATTTGACCTCAGCGATCACCCCTGCTGCGCACTATAAGGCCATTGACAATGCTTTTAAGCATGCCGATATTCGTAGCAAAGCCAAGACACACGCTGGACGAAAATCGGGTGCGAAAATGGCGGATATTGGAGGTGCTGGTGACTCGGATATCCGTCGAGCTGGTCGCTGGACAGGTGATTCCATGGAAGGATCATATCTGACAAACCTCCCTCAAAGATTGCTACGAACTATGGCTGATTTTTCTCCGGATGGTGGTCGCTTTTACCTCCTGCGTGACATTGTGAAGCCTTCGCCAGAACTCTGCCGCAGAATTTTCCCTTGGATTGAACAATGGCAAGAAAGGATAGATCAGAACGAAGGCGATCGTACGATGGCGGCAGATGGATTTCTGAAAATGTTGCGTGTTTTGTGTGTCACATTTCTACAAGATTCAGTTTTAATGCAACAACGCCATCCAGGTCTTTCCATTTGGAACGCTTCCATGTTCAATGATACACATTACTTGGAATTTAAAGGGTTAGTGATTTATAAAGCTGGTCGATATTGCTCGTGTTGCGTTAAAGTATACTTATTGATTTGTTTGCCTATCGTATCTAGAGCTGTGACAAGTGCTGTCAGCGAGGCGCCTAGACCCCAAGAGCTGATACTCCAAATAGCTATGCCCCATTTACATGATTCTGTCCGTACCATGCATACTGATGTATCAGCGAAGATTGCTGCACTTACTTTGGCTGTTGAGCAACAATCCCAAGCTACTCAACAGTACTTACGGGATTTGACATCTGGGCAGATTCCTTTAACTGTGCAATTCCACGCACACCAGCCGCCATATACATCTACTGGTCCTTCTGCTTCTGCTCCCACTGATGCATCTACTGCAGTTATCATAGGCCCTTCCGCTGCAACACCGTTTTCTCCCGCACAGCAACAACTGGATACACCGCCAAACTACCGCATGAGCCGTGGCATCCATACCATCCACAACTTGTGGCGTGAATGGCATGAAGGTTTAGGTGGTGCCCCATCTGTTGAGAGCCTCGAGTTACAGTGGGGCACGCAATGGCGCAGGGATGATTCCAAGTTCGTCAACCGTTGCAAAATAATCATCCAAGGCATCAAGCGATATGTACAGGAGAAAGACATCACCGAGGACGAGGCCAAGTACAGAATCGAACAAGAGAGAGTTAATTTGAACAACAAATCGTTGGATTGGATGAGCAAACACGTTGAAAAATAGATGGAAGCAGAACTATAGCACTTTTTTTATATATATTTAGTTGTCATATTTAATCACCATATTGCTATATTGATATTGGAAATAAAGAGATTAAAACGGTAGTAAACGTATTGTAAAACCCGGAAAGAGACATTACTACATGCGATTTATAGTGATTTGTTTTTAATTGGAGAACCTTAAAGGTTAAATGTACTCGTCACCGACATCATTGAACATGTCATTTAGATCTTGACAGACAAGCAATACAGAATAAAGCAACCACCGCCAACTAACAGTTAGTGGGACCCCGCAATCCCAAATATGCACATATTTGCTCCTCGACCAGGGGTATTATACTCACATAAGCGTGTATAAATTTAGGACCCGCTGGTCCTGGTGAGACTTGGCGGGACCTCAGGTTGAGATAAGTATATGTAAGCATAGTTATATGGATCAGTGTACACATGGTTAAAAATCTTTCTGAGTGATGATATACTCGCATTGTTTTTGCTTAGTTTCGAAGATCTTATCAAAGTATAGCATAAGTGATGTCGTGCACTCTATTACAGACAGTGGATTAAAGAAGTAGCGCCCCTTTGACGTAGGTGACTTCAGATGCTGACTTCAGGAGTGAGACCTTTCGTACTATACAAGCCAGTGGACATCTTCGTGCGGGGAGAGGAAGTAGCTGCACCTTGCAGAATCGACTTGGCAAAAAAAAAAGAGAGGTGAGCTAATGACGCAACATTACTAGGTCGAAGTGAATTCGCGTACCTTCACCCGCATAAGGAAGGAGCGTTTCACGAAAAGAGCGGCTTGCAAAAACAAAACAGAAAAATCAAAAACTATCCACAAAAGTGCCCTTTTGCAGACGATAAGACTCGGGTAAAGCATTGTGGTTGGTATCATCGTGTTCGTCTCGTCGTTCTTTACACACTTGGCTAGAAACATGAAAATCTGCCGGAAATATTGTCGAAACGACCCGTTTTTTAGCAAATACTACAGGTTAACAAATAACAACCACTTTGCTTTTTTTCAAAAATCGCCTCATCTTTCACCTATACCTTTCAGCTTTTTCTCCACAGAAAATGATCGTATAGCTCATCAGTTGGCACCATTCATATGCTGAAACGCTACTCTACAGCATATTAAAAACTCAATTCAATCTATTACTTTTGTGCTGATGTGCTGGAGGTGGCAGAGCAGTGGTAGTGATTGATGATGAAAAAAGATAACCCCGCCTTAGCAGCAGATGGATAATGAATTAGGCAAGTTAACAAGGAGTGAATTAATGGACAGAAAACTGCTTGTGTATTATTATATGACACCTTTGGTGTACTTCATAGATAGAAATAGCTTATGATACATTGTTGTCTGCTGAACAATACAAATGTGATTTCAAGGTTATGTACAAACAGCTTGCCGTAGCTAATAAGAACAGAAGTTCACGGTCAAAACATAAAACTTACCATCTACTGCGTGCAGCTTGAATCTAATACTATCCCATCAAGAAAAAGAAACTGTATATAGGTTAGAATTGAGTATTCGTTTGAAGTAGAAATATATGTAGTATATAAAAAAGAAATAAGATAAGGGAGAGGATCGGATTTAAGGACTTCATTGTTGCTGTTGATCTTGCAACTGCTGCAACCGTTGCAATTGCTGCTGTAGAAGCTCTATTTGCTGTTGTTGTTGCTGTTGCTGTTGTTGTTGCTGTTGCTGTTGCTGTTGCTGTTGCTGACTCTGTTCTTGTTGGTGTTGTTGTTGCTGCTGCTGGGATACTAGCGTGTAGAGGAAAGTGATTCCGTCTAACACAGCTGTCATTCTACGCCTGTATTCAACAGCGTCCTCTTTCTAGTGGCTGGGTGTTGCTAAAGGGACGTCATCAGGCCAGCCAACTAACGAAATGCTGTACTTTTTTCCATTGATGACACCATTTCCATTGTCAAACTTTTTCCACGGAAAATTCGAAATCTTTTTGAAGCCTTCAACTTTACCAAGCAGAGTCTCATCTAGTAAGGCACACATCGCAACTGAGTGGCTGAACCATTAGATATCAAGCCTTTTTAGTTACTTACTGTACGAATTGATGATTTTGTTGACAATTGTACTTTCGACCTGCTACTTGGAAGCACTCGAAAATGAGCTGCAGAGTCGGGGTCGCTTGACTCCACGGGAAGAAGAGGAACGATTGTCGGCTGCAATAGTTGTCGGAGAGGATGATGATGGAGATGGAGGGGTTTCGGTGGCATTGTTGGTTTCAGGATCAATTGGGACGGTCTCAGTAGCGGCTAAATAGGAAAGTCAGAGCTACTTCTACATCTTTACTTAATACATTCATATACATACCCTTCCTGTTGAAGTCATAGCATTCACTTTTGAATATTTCCTTCAATCTGAAGGAAACGTCTTCAACCTGGTCTGCTTCTACCTTCTCTAAGAAGGCGATTCCTGCGTCTAAATCGAGTTTTTAATTTGTTGATCTTCATGACGAAAGGAAAATGAAACTCACCTGATCCAGCTGCATCAACGGGAACCACCTTACTCGTGAGCTTGTCCGGCAAGAAAAGACACAAGGTTTCAACACCACATTCTCGTTTCAGCTGGACAAGGTTGCGGCCCATGCAGTCGATGAGCAACTTCAGCTTCAACTTTGCTGACTGAACGGTCTTTTGTTCAGTGGCGCCAATGCTTTCGTTGTGCTCGGTTGTTGCTCGGATCAGGTCTGCCTTCAGTTCCGGATCGTTCATCAAAGCTTTGTATTCGTCAGACTTTTGCTGAACGATATATCCAGCGTGACGATTATCGTCCTTCAGTATTCCCCTATCTAAGCGTACAGAAAAATACTGATTAATACGAGTGTTGTATCATGCCTGCATTCTTGTATTTGCTATTATTAAGATGATATAACCTTCTGCATCGTAATGAAGGGACAGGAAATGCTGCCAGGTGTTTCATTTGCTGGCGTGCTTGCAAAGCAATGGCAATCTCACCGGCAGGAGCTCCTCGACGCGCTTTCCATACTTGGCGGCAATTTGGGCTTGACCTGCCTTCATGCAGTCAAGCAACTCTTTTTCAAGAGCTGCCAGATCAGCCTCCATTTCCTCATCGGCTTCGGCCACAGCGGATGCAACTGCTTCGTCAGCTGCAGCATCTACTACGTTACTGGAGGCAGACTCGAGTTCCATCTGCTCAATAGCAGTCGCCACGTCAGCAGTTGCATCAGTTGTCATTAGAGCTTGGTCGAATGAAGCTTTTGTAGCTTCAAATCTTTCCTTCATTACTGCTGCTTCGTAATTGCAATCGGAAACGAAATCAATGAAATCATCATTATTAAATATTTCCGTCTCTTCTTCTGTTGTTCTATTCTCTTTGACAAAAAGTCGGTAGAGTTTAAAAGCGGTTTCAATATGGTCTTTTGTCAATAAGGGATTCATTTTAAAATTGCAGAAAAAGGGAGGTAAGAAGTAGTAAGGAAGAAGTTGGTGTCTCAACATCTGGCTTCTCTCTGTTCTATTATCAAGCGTTTCACAAACTTTCGCATCATTCACTACAGAGTCACATTTCACAAGGTTCTCGACAATTACACTTTTTTGAGCAATTATGGCAGAGTTCTATTTGAGTTTGCGGCGTAATTTATTTTTGCGGCCGTTATGAATATACTGGGGCTGCAAAAATTTGCTCAGTATAAGTATTACTGCGGTGGCGGTAATACTAGCTGCCATCACCCATGGAAAAGAAGGAAGTAAGCCATTAGATGCCCTTAATTTCTCACCAGGGAGAGTCTGTTTATCATGAATCATTTTCTATTCTCCAACCAATCAAATACAGTATTTCGCACCAGTGTTCATCTCTATATTACACCCCCTAGAAATTTTATAGTTTCAAACGCAAAACGCTCTATACTTATATCATCTTATATACCACTTTTCCCGCCATGTATCACTGGAGTTGGCAAGCGATTTCAGAGGCACTGAATGCACACTGAAAGCGGTACTTTCAGAGTGCTTTCAGAGTGCTTTCATGATGGCTTTCAGAGTACTTTCAGAGTACACTGAATGACCGTTTTGTTTACGGGTGATACACGTCTCCTGCATGCCATTCATAACTTCTTACTGGTTGGGGAGATGCTTAAGCGGCACAGTGACATTGGCGAGTTCGTGTCTTCCTGTGCATTAAGGCTTGCTAATGATTCGTTGGGAGAAACAAACTTCCATTCCCTTTATCCAATTCTATTTGCTCAAAAACCACTCATACACCCCTTTTCATTTGCTCAAATTGCTCACACATGCATATAGTATATTGCTCATACGTGCATATAGCCAATGATAGTGCTTTATTAGACCACACGGCACTGACGGTGACGCGTCAGCACAGGTAGTAAAAAAAGGATGGAATAATAGTATACAAAAAATAGGAGGGGAAAAAAATACAAAAGAAAAGCCATATAGAAACTATTCAATAAACTACACATGCTGATGGTATTCAAAAAGCAGCAGTACTAAGGGATTCTTGTTACAGCGATGTACATAGAGATTTCCTAATAAAAAAAAGAGAAAAAGTATAACCATTAAAATACGTCCTATACTCTATTGCTCCACGCTGTTATAACCCCCACCCTCAAACTTACCTTATAGTACATCATCTTGTCTCGTTTTCATGAACCACTGTAGCCTAAGGAGGGATGAGATAGATGAGGTTATAGCGAGCTGGTTAGTAACATGAAAGAGGTTGAAGGAATAGCTGGTGAAGTGAACTCAATCTCATTGGCAGAAGTGAAAGAAAGTGAAGTTGCTCAAGTGACGGTGCTCAGGCGACGGTGTTAGTATGAAGGACTTCAAGGAAGACACATTCAGCACGAAGATGTGACAATCTGATGAGGCCGTTCAAGTAAAAAGCTCAAAGTATAAGTTGGAGATGCACAGCAAACGTAAAAAAAAGTAGGTAGAAGAGAAAAAGGTGACGAAATTGAATTGAGCAGAGCGGAATACTAAATAATTAAAAAGAGCGGCAAAAAAATACACGTAGAAGCTTTTGAAGAAACACGTCTTTCATATAAAAAAAACTGCTTTATTCAATTTTTATATGTCCAGAGCGCAAGGCCATGACGAACTTTTTCATCTAATGTTCGATCGTTAAGTTCTATCGTAGGTAGTTCACGGGAGGATGTGTGGCCGGGTTCGCGGATTCTGTCTATCTCATGTAGAAAGCGTGTTGCCTATAAAGCTGATGTTAGACTATGCTGCGTATATCAAGATGAATAGAGTACAAGTGATCTCATGCTAGTCCTTACATTATCGGATCTCCAAGCTGGACGAGAGATCACTTCACTATCCTCAATATCGGACATGCATGCTGCAACAAAGATGTCTCCAGGATCTTGATACAAGGACAGTGCCGGATGGGTCTTGTTTGCATTGTACGTTTTCTTACGCTTGTTCGCCAACTGTCAACCGAATACATATCATATGTTACTGTGAATCCACGCTGTAAGAAGAAACTGAAAATAAACTTACACTTGCACGCGCAGCTCGTTTCTTGCTTTTTTGTCGGCGAGCTTCTTTTATGTGGTCCGGCTGTGTTTCCCAATTTTTCTTATTGTAAAAAGAAACCCTGAGCGCCCTCTTCATAGCCTGGGTGCTCCAGTTAAAAAGCTGGTAATCTCGACTCTCCGTCACTGTCCTAAGAACTTGATTTATGATGGTACAGTTTGGTTCATCATTGATGCGTAGGCTGTAATCCCACGCGAGACCTTGGTGTCTGGATACAGAGGAATAGGCTTCTTGCAGAAGACTCTATATATCATAATTGATGATATGTTTATAATAGCCCATGCAAAATAACTGTCGATTTGTAAAGCTTCTACAAATACGTACCATCATACTAATACTGCTGTTGCTCTTGGTATCACTTCTAGCACTGCTTGTATTGTGGCTCTGAATATATGCCGCAACTCTCTGTTCTAGCTGCCCTACTTGCCGGCGTAGTGACTGGATTTCATTCTTATTGATTGGAGATAAGCTTTGTTGGTGGAATTGACCTGCTGGGAACATGGTAGTAGGGAAAGTAGTGACGATATAGATTGCTATGATGCCCATCAATGCTAGAGAATGGCCCATCTATTTATACTTTAGTTAAAATGGATGATTCAGACACCAAGTTACCGAGCTCTCTACTAGATAAAAGTCTTGGCCAAATAAGTTGAGATATCCGTTCTCTGAATGAGCTATTCGGTACAGGCCATCCGGAACACTTTTGCATGATATGCCTTGATGTGTAAGATCTGTAAACAAGTCTCAGGAAAAGTAGACATATATTATAGACAGGGATGCACCTAATCGCGCGAGGATGGTATTTGTTGTTTCTCTTTCTTAGCTATATGATGCAGATATAGTTTTGCTTTGAAGTAAGTGAGACAGCATTGTCGATTCGGGCATGTCT